CCTACTGGGGATATGCCCGCAACCAAGGTACATGCCCCTGACTGGAATCGAACCTGGGGCCTTTCAGTCCCCAAGCCAACGCTCTATCCATTGAGCCAAACCGGTTTCGGCACATTCAATGAAAATTTAAGCCCTGACCAATTTGGCTCAGTGGATAGAGCATCGGCCTGCGGACTGAAAGGTCCCAGGTTCGGTTCTGGTCAAGGGCATGTACCTTGTTGCGGGCACATCCCTGGTAGGGGGTGTGCAGGAGGAAGCTGGTCGATGTCTCTCTCTCATCGATGTTTCTAGCTCTCTATCTCTCCTTTCTTCTCTATAAAAAATCAATAAAATATTTTTTAAAGAAAATTTAAACTATATTTGCCATACTTTGTGTTACACTCTAAGCGTTTTTGGCTCAGGGGATAGAGTGTTGGCCTGCAGACTGAAGGGTCCCAAGTTCGATTCCAGTCAAGGGCACAGGCCTGGGTTGCAGGCTCGATCCCCAGTAGGAGCCGTGCAGGAGACAGCCGATCAATATTCTCTTTCATCATATATATATCCCTTATTCCCTGAAATCAATTTAAAAATATACATTTTTCTGATTTTTTATTTAAGCGAAGTCTCCAAAAATAGAAGTGGGCTGTGACTAGCTTTGGACACCTGAGAGCCCCTAGAGGGCGCTCATTCGGCATCAGAGACTTGAAGGCTTCATTTCGAGAATTCACATACCACACAATCATTCCTTTAAAGTGCACAATTCAATGTCTAGTCTGTTCACAGAGTTGTGTAACCACCACCACAGTCAGTTTTAAAATATTTTCATCGCTGCAAAAGGAAACTCTCTGCCTATACCCTTCCTAACTCCTCCCAGTCCCCCTCTCCAAGCAACCACTAATTTATTTTCTGTCTCTAAAGATTTGCCCTTTCTGGATATTTTTTTATAAGAGTAATCATATAAAAATGTGACCTTTTGTGTCTAGCTTCTTTCATTTAGCATATTTTCACAGTTTATTCATGTTGTAGCATACATCTCTATTTCATTCCTTTTTATGGCTGAATAATATTCCATCGCATGATCTAACTGGTTTGGCTCAGTGGATAGAGCGTCGGCCTGCAGACTGAAGGGTCCCAGGTTTGATTCCGGTCAAGGGCATATACATTAGTTTTGGGCACATCCCCAATGGGGGGTGTGCAGGAGACAGCTGATCGATGTTTCTCTCTCATTGATGTTTCTAACTCTCTATCCCTTTCCCTTTCTCTCTGTAAAAAATCAATAAAATATGTTTTTAAAATATTCCATTGTATGGATAGACACATTGTGTTTATCCATCCATCTTTTGACTAATACATAGAACTCCTTTCACCCAACGTGCAAACAAGGCCCCTGAGAAGAACCCAGCCAAATTCTAAGCATTCAAATCTGGCAAGTAATTATCAAAAGAGTAGTTAGGACAGGGGCCTTCAAGCTTGGGGCTCCTGACACTTCAGTATTCAACAGCTGCCAGTCCACAGCAACTACTCAGGAGTTTGTGAATAATGGTAGCAGATTCTGACTCGAGAAGAAACAGAATCTCATAGATTTGTGACCTGCCCTTCCAGCTGGCCTGCAGATAAGCCTTCACCTGCCCCAAATGCTTCCCTTGGGGACAGTCCTGAACCAGGGTCTAACTAGGGGCTGTGGGAGGACTCTGCAATAGTGGGACTGAGCCTTGTGACTGTGTCTTTGCCTGGCCTTGGAAAGAGACGATTTTAGGCCACGGGCACCATTCACCAGGCAGCAGAGCAGTTCTGGACAAAGCCAGGAGCCAAGGGACAGTTTGACCTACTTGGCGGGGCATGCTGGCCAGGTACCTAAGGAGGAAGGCAAATGTCTTGAGAAGTGTCACACAGTGTCAGCAGCATGACTGGCCAGGGGTGACTTTGGACCCTAGCTAGGCTACTCCGGATTTAGGGATTGTAATTCAGAAAGAGCCAACTAATTTCAGTGATATAAGAGGCAGCCATTTTGCACTATGAATATGAGAACAATGACGGAGAGAGAATGAGATAGAGCTAGAAATAGAGATAGAGAGAGATAGAGGGGGATGATTGCTCTGCTGTTGACAGCTTTCCAAACGCTTGTATCCTTAATAAATTTCCTTTATTGGGTAGTATGAGATGGTGTCTCTACTTGCAACCAAAAGACCTGGTAATTAAGATTTCCTCCTGAGCCGGGACCGGTTTGGCTCAATGGACAGAGCGTCGGCTTGGGGACTGAAGGGTCCCGGGTTCGATTCCGGTCAAGGGCATGTACCTTGGATAAAGCAAGAAGATACACTGTGCAAATTCTGTGTCCATTAGTTACTACCCACTGAGAGAGAGGCACACACTCAGAAAATTAACTATAAATGATGTGGAAAGTATAGAAATCAGAGCAAAATTCTCATTCCACCTGAAGTGAAGAGCAAGCAATGAAGGAGCACCCACTGGAGCAAAAATGACACTTCAACAAATAATGTATGAAATCAGTGAAACCAGGTCCCCAGAACAGGTATATTTGTTAAGACAAAGTAGAACAGTGGTTACCAGGAGCTGAGGGAGAGAGGAATGGGAAGTTGTTGTTTAATGGGTACAAGAATTTTAGTTTGGGCCTGGCTAATGTGGCTCAGTGGTTGAGCCTCGACCTATGAGCCAGGAGGGCACATGCCTGAGTTATGGGATGGATCCCCAGTGAGGGGCATGCATCAGGCAGCCAATCAATGATTCTCTCTCATCATTGATGTTTTTATCTCTTTCTCCCTCTCTAAAATAACATATATATATATATATATATATATATATATATATATATATATATATTTTTTTTTTTTTTTTTTTTTTTTAAAGGATTTTAGTTTGGGATGATGAAATGTTCTTGAAAAGGATAGTGTGAATGATAGCACATTATTGTGGATATACTTAATACCACTGAGCCTTTACCCTTAAAAATAATTAAAATGGATATATATATATATATATATATATATATATATACTACATATATTCACAATAAACAAAAAACAAATCACAAAAAGAAAAAATTACACCCAAGTTCAACCAGTCTTGAAGTCGGGGCCTTCAGACTCAAGTGTCAACCAATCCCTGTCTATGGGACACGCAGCACGGGTGTCAGTTTCCAGATTCGTCCAGTTCTTTGCCGGAACAGTGGAGTGGCTGCAGGAGCTCAGAGCTGCAGATGGAAAAAGAAGCCATTCGGCCCCTAGCAGGCTGCTATCGGGAGGAAAAGAAGTCTTGGCTGAGGGCACAGAAGAGGCAAAGGCCCTGAGGCAGGAACATGCCAGGGGGAATGTTCCAGGAAGCAAGTGTGTGTAGGGCAGGAGCAGGGAGAGGGGGCACTGAGTAGGGGACAAAGTCAGAGAGGACAGGGAGGGAGCTGGGCAGATGAAGCAGGGCTTTCACTAAGGCTCTGGCTTCTGCTCTGAGTGACTGGTGGGGGGGGGGACAGGAAAAGGATGTGAGCTGAGTTGACTCGGGCTTATCTGTGTCTAAGTAACATGTACGCATCTTCCAGGGTTGGAGGGGGTATAAAACCTTCCTCGGATTCTCAGAGGCGGCTAGCAAACCCCCACAAGACTAAGAACCTGTGTGGCTCCAAAACTGGTTTGGCTCAGTGGATGGAGTCCCAGGTTCGATTCCAGCCAAGGGGGCATGCCCCTTGGTTGCGGGCACATCCCCAGTAGGGAGTGTGCAGGAGGCAGCTGGTTGGTGTTTCTCTCATTGATGTTTCTAACTATCTCTCTCCCTTCCTCTGTATAAAGAATCAATAAAATATATTTTAAAAGAAAAAGAAGCCGGGACCGGTTTGGCTCAGTGGATAGAGCGTCGGCTTGGGGACTGAAGAGCCCCGGGGACTGAAGAGCCCCGGGTTCGATTCTGGTCAAGGGCATGTACCTTGGTTGCGGGCATATCCCCAGTGGGGGGTGTGCAAGAGGCAGCTGAGAGAGTCATAGGACTCTCTCTCATCGATGTTTCTACCTCTCTGTCTCTCTCCCTTCCTCTCTGTACAAAAATCAATACAATATATTTTTAAAAAATAAAAGAAAAAAAGAAAAGAAAAAGAAAAGGAACCCGTGTGGCCTTGGTTTTGCCTCTGTGTCTTGGCAGAGCCGCCTTTAACCCTTTCCTGCCTGTTTCCGGCCTTGTATTTGCCCTGGGAACCCCAGGCAGGAGAGGGGCAGGCTCCCCCCCCCCCCGCCCCTGCACCCCTTGGGCCACCAGGCGGGTGCACCTGCCCGCACCCCACTCCCCGGGGCCGCAGGACTCCCTTCCCGGCCGCGGAGGACCCGCCCCGCCCCCTCGCGCGGCCCGGCAGGAAGGGGCGGGCCCTGCCGGCGGGCTGTGCTGTAGCCCCGCGTTGCCATAGCGACCCCGGCCGGGAGCCTGGGACCCCGGAGCGCGCTCTGCCGGCTGCGATTGAGGCGGAGGCGGTGACACCCCATCCCGCCCAGGGGCGACTCCGGGTCCAGGTTCCGCCGCCGGGCAGGTGAGCGCCGGGGCAGAGGACGCAGGGGGTGCCGGGCGGTGTCTCTGAACGGTCCCCTAGTCTTCCCAGGCCAAGTTTCTAGCGTTAAGGGCCAGCATGTGGACTGGTCATGCTGGATATGAAATATGTGACCGTCACCTCCGGCCCCGGGGCAGCTTCTTTCCGACGTCATCACAAACGCAACTGCTGGACTGGTTTCCCTGGTTCCCAAGTAATTGTGCCATCAGACCCCTCCCCCTCGCGCTCCCCCTCCCTCCAGGGAGCCCCTGGAGAAGCAAGGGAGGAGACAGCGAGGGTCAATCCAGCACAAAAGAATCCCCTCCGAGGGCAACTCACCTGCCCCAGGGATTCAGGACACACATGAGTCACCCGACTTGAGCTCAGACAGTGCCTCCCGGGAAAGCCCCAGAGCCTTGGCAGAGATCGAGACACACTGAGCCCCTGATGTCCCTCACCCTTTGTGCCAGCGCCCTCTGGCCCCGCCGAAGCAGCCAACATGCCTATCTCCAAGTGCCCACCCAAGTCCCAGCCCCCGTGGAAGGAATGGGACCAAAAGGCCCAGAAGAATGGCCTGAGACACCAGGTCCATGCTGTCAATGGTGACTGCTACGTGGGCGAGTGGAAGGACAACATGAAACATGGTGAGTAGGGGACCTCCAGAGGCTCAGGTGGGGGGTCTGAGCCAAGGAAATGGGATGCAGAACTCATGGGGGACATGAGATATGTCCCTGAGGCTCCTCCAAGGGGTGAATGCTGACCTGGACCAGCCAGGGACCTCCACATGGAAAGGAACTCAGCCCTGACTTCAGCTGCGAGAAAGTCTCAGGGACCAGTAGGGCCGCCCAAAGCAGTCTGGAGACACCAGCCCCAGGCACAGCTGGGGCTCAGGAGACACCAGCTCTGTCCCACCCTCCTGGGCTAAGCCTTCGGCTGGCTGGCTAGAGGGAGGAAAAGGCAGAGGCCGGAAATCAGCTTGCAATTGGGATGCTGGTCTTCAAACACAGCTCTGATGTGGATTCTGAGCAACAGGTGGTAAAGGAAGACCCCTCCCTTCCCTCAAGAAGCTGGGGCTCAGGCTTTAACTGCATTGGGCTCTGGGTCTAAACAGGGGGTGGGCACAGGAGTCCTGTGATACAAATGAAGACCTGAAGGCAAAAAAAAAAAAAAAAAAAAAAGTTTTCATTTTAAAAAGTGGCATGACTTTTCATTCCAGTCTTGCAATTCCAGATTCTTAACCCCTATTCTCTCCCCCTTACCTGCATTGAATGAGGTGAAGTCCATAAACCTGGGTGAGAATCTTAGTTCCACCAACTATGACCTTGAGTGACCACCAACCCATTCAGGGCCTCAGTTCCCCTACCTGTAAAATGGAAATAAAGCTTATCTGTGAAGATAAGAGATGACATCTATCAAGCATGGAACCCAAGGCCTGTGCAAAAGAGAAAGGGTGTATGAAGAGGCTTATAATTTTATTTTTTAAATAAGTTTTTAATTGGTTTTTACAGAGATAGGAAGAGAGAGGGATAGAGAGATAGAAATATGGATGAGAAACATCATCCATCTCCATCCGCTGCCTCCTGCACACCCCCTGCTGGGGATCATCAAGCCCACAACTGGGCATGTGCCCTTACTGGGAATCAAACCCCGGACCCTTCGGTCTGCAGGCTGACGCTCTATCCACTGAGCCAAACCAGTTTCGGCAAGGCTTGTAATTTTAAATGGGGTAGTATGGGTAGGCCTCATTAAGAAAATGAGATTTGAGCAAAGACTTGCAGGAGATAGGGAATGAGCAGATATTTGGGGAAGAGAATTCCAGGCCAGGGAACAAGCAGGTGCAAAGATCTGGAGACAGAAGTGTACCTGGTGGGTTCCAGGAACAGTATGGAGGCCATTGCAGTTGGAGGGCAGTCTGAAGGGTGGGAGTGGAGAACACAGAAGAGGTTGGAGTAGTAGGAGATGGGTCTCCACATGTGTTCAGGGGAACTAGTGAAATGTGCAGAACATGTTCCAGAAACTGTCCATGAAAAAATCCAAAATTTATCCAGCCAGTATGGTTAAGTGGTTGAGCATCGACCATACACCAGAAGGTTGCAGGCTCCATCCCAGACAAGGCACATGCCCAGAAAGGGGCATGCAGGAGGCAGCCATTTGATCTTTCTCATCAATGTTTCTATTATTTTCTCTCTCTCCCTTTCTCTCTAACACCAATAAAAAAAAATATTTTTTTTCAAATCCCAAACCCTAAGAAAGGTTTTTAAAGTTTATTTTGAGACAAGCATTTTGAGGTTAGTCCTGGAAGCAAAATCTCAAGGAATTGAGATAATGCTCCTGAGAACGGTTATTTTACAGCTTATTTTATATGTTAGAATCAAAGGAGAAGACATAAGGCAGGCACATGAAATCCACAGGTGGCAGATTAAGGAGAAAGCAAAGCAGGGAAATCTCTAAAACTGGATAAAAAGTAAAATAGAGAAATACATACTTTTTTTTTTTATATTGGTGGTTACAGGAGAGTTAATATTTCACATACATAGTTTACAGAGGTATGTGGGCAAAGATAATAATGAAGAATGTTGTAGTTGTCTTGCCCCATATCGGGTTCTGAAGATAATTTTGATATTTTATTTTATTTATTTATTTTAAATATATTTTATTGTTTTTTTATAGAGAGGAAGGGAGAGGGAGAGAGAGCTAGAAACATTGATGAGAGAGAAACGTCGACCAGCTGCCTCCTGCACACCCCCTACCAGGAATGTGCTCGCAACCAAGGTACATGCCCTTGACCGGAATCGAACCTGGGACCTTTCAATCCACAGGCCGATGCTCTCTCCACTGAGCCCAACCGGCTAGGGCTGATATATATATATATTTTAATGATTGAAACGTCCCTTGCGGTTACTTCTAGCTATGGAATTTGCCACGCTTGCCAAGGTAGCCCCTTTTTGTTCACAAAACCCAGTTGTTACTTGGGGTTTGCTATGCCAATCTGGCTTCAAGGCAAAGGGCTGGAGAACCAACGTTTGTAGAAATGGAACTTTCTGGGGGTTTTTATGGGCGCTGGTGGTCTAGAGATGAGGCACAGACCCTGTCCCAGTCCCCCAGAACCACCAAGTCTAGGGGCACATGAGGCCCAGGCAGACCCAGCCAACTGCTCCCCACCCTCATGATGGCCATGTCTGCAGTGTTGGCCCATCTGTATGTCATCAGGAAAAGGAACACAGATCTGGAAGAAGAAAGGGACTATCTATGAGGGGGACTGGAAGTTTGGGAAGCGAGATGGCTATGGCACCCTCAGCCGTCCTGACAAAGAGAAAGGAAAGTACAGGAAAGTATATTCGGGCTGGTGGAAAGGCGATAAGAAATCGGTGAGTGGTTCCCATCATGCCCTGGGATGTGGGCCAAGCTGAAAGCATGGTGTGTGTGTGTGTGTGTGTGTGTGTATGTGTATGTAGGGGGAGGAGCCAGAGAGGTCTGGGAGAATAGGGGGTGGATGGATTTGAGGAGGAAAAGGGGTTCTGTGTGGGTAGGAGAAGGAAGGGGTGGGGGAATCCTTACAGGTTCTCAGAACAAAACCCAGGAAACAAGAAGGCGGAGGAGAGACCCAGGGAGGAGCCTGTGAAATCCTGTGGCTGCAAGAAGCCAGCCCATAGCCTGAAGAACTCTCCTCCTCCTCCTCCCCGACTCATTTCCTGGCTTTCTTTTCCCTGGACGGCCCTTTCTAAGAATCCCCCTTCTGTTGGGCCAGGATAAGAAGAGGGTAGGAAGAGTGGGAGCAAAAAAGCTGAGGTCACACCCTTAGTCACCTGACAAGAGAGGAAGGTCCCACTTCCCAGGGGTAGAAGCCAGCCAGAGGCATAAACATCAATATCCTCTCCATAGGCCACGGAAACAGATAAAAATATATTATTACTATTGCACAACTGCTACTGCAATCCTGAAAAATGATATTGTACTTGAGCTAACTCTCACATCATCATTCATCCTCCTCCTCCTTATTTTCCTGATGAGGAAACAAGCTCAGAGGTGAAGTGCCTTGCTCAGGGTCACACTGCTGAGGATTTCTAGACCTCTGCTTTCAAATTGTTTACTGGCCAGTGATGAGAGAAGCGTTAGGATAGACTCTATCTGATAGAGCTTTGCACAAGGAGTCCAGAGGAACATCTTGGAGCATTCACAGGCTTCCCTGTTGGAATTCTCTCTCTCTCTCTCTCTCTCTCTCTCTCTCTCTCTCTCTCTCTCACACACACACACACACACACACACACACACACACACACACACACACACACACAAAGGCAGAGTTAACCAGGGAGAAATAAAGGAGAAGGGGAAGTAGCAAAGGAGGCAGAAGTAACGAAAGGAAGGATATGTCAGCAAGGTGTGTGTGCCCACAGGGGTGGGAGTAAGGGGCGGCAGGAAGGGGTGGGCCTTGATCAGGATTTGGGCCTCCTCAGATGTGATCTGCATGCAGAAAGGCCACGCTCCTGTGATTGAACGCTGAGTATGGCGTTGATACTCATTTTCACTGGGAGGAAAATCCATGGCTTTGATCTGATGTTCAGAGGCATCTGTGACTTTGAATGGGATCAAGTCAGAGTTGGGGCAAAGATAATCAGATGGGAGATGGAAAGATCCTCCTAGTTGCTGTATGTTGGATTCACGAGGGCAGGGAGAATGGGAGAGTGGAGGAAGGGGAGAGTGGGGAGGGGAGAAAGGACCGTGGGGCTGCATAAAGGCGGTAGCAGAGGGACAGAGGGACATGGACAGCCTGGAGAGATTTTTCCAGACGGGATGTAGGGCTCAGAGAGCAAGGAAGGAAGAAGCCCAGGTGCGTGGTGGTTTGGGTGCCAGGGAGGATGGCGCAGGGCGTCGTGAACAGGGACACCCTCGTGCTTTCAGGGCTATGGGATCCAGTTTTACGGACCCAACGAGTACTATGAAGGTGAGTGGTGTAGCGACCAGCGTTGCGGGTGGGGCCGCATGTACTACAGCAATGGTGACATCTACGAGGGCCAATGGTGGAACGACAAGCCGGACGGGGAGGGCATGCAGCGCCTGAGTGAGTGCCCCGCCCCGCCCCGCCCCGCCCCAACGGCCTGCTGGCCATGCCCACATGACCACGCCCCGACCTGGTCACCAGGCCCCGCCCCTGCCCTCAGGGCCGCATCCCTCTGGGTCCAGAGTAACCCAGACCCCATCAGGCCACGCCCCGGCAATACCCCAAAAGCGCCACTCCAGTGTGGATTAAGGTGCATGACAGGACCAGATCCTTGCCCTCAGGGAGCTTAATACTCTAAAAGGAGAGCCTAACAATAAATACGAGCAATTAAGACATTTTCTGATGTTCATAACAATCATAGCTACACCTGTACGGTGGTACTGAAATAATTTAATTCTCGCCACGATTCTATAACAACAGGTGCTCTTATCCTGACTCTACAAATAAAAGGAGGCACAGAGAGGTTAAAGTTACTAGGTCAAGGTCATGCAGTTGTGACATGCAAAAGTGCTAAAGGAATTCCCCTTAAATTCACCACCATCAGATGAGAAGCTGAATTGACTCCCCATGAAGAACCTGGACTCCTGGGATGCACAGGCCTTGGTTTTAAGTCTTGCCTCTGTCACTTCCTAGCTCTGTGACCTTGAGCAAGTCAGTCAAACTCCTTGAGCTTTGCAAGCTCCATCTGTAAAATGGAGTCCTTCATCCTTCATAGCATTGTTTGGGAGGAGTGACATCAGAAACAGGCAAGGAACCAGGTACAGAGTAAGTGCTGCAAAAAAACACTACCGATTCATATTATAGCGAGATATATATATATATATATATATATATATATATATATATATATGTAGGAAACCATGTGGCTTGTTCAAGTAAGTAGTGAAGGCAAGATGTGAAACAGGTCTCATGTTTATAGGTCAGTTGTGTCCCAGACCCCACCCCATCTACCAGCCCAGCTCACTCTAATCAACTTAGTTTTGTTCTGGCTTCCTGGTGGGCCTGGTGCCTGGCCTGGAGTGGCAGAAGGCCAGCCAGGCCTGCTCTGCCCAGCACCCACACCTCCTGCCCTTGCAGAGAACGGGAACCGCTATGAGGGCTACTGGCAGGGAGGCCTGAAGAACGGGCCGGGGCGATTCTTCCACCTGGACCACGGTCAGCTATTTGAAGGCTTCTGGGTGGACAACATAGCCAAGTGTGGCACCATGACTGACTTCGGCCGAGATGAGGCTCCGGAGCCTACCCAGTTCCCCATTCCTCAGGTGGGCAGCTCTCCTCAGCGCCCTGTGACCACACCCAGACAGAGACCGAGACAAACAGCTCCACCGCCCCCAACCACACCCAACCTGCCTGATCCGGCCCAGTCCAACCAGGGAACAGACAAGGTTTTGTTTTCAGTCAGGGTATCTCCAGGGAGGCAGGTAGCACTTCACCAGGCAGACAGCACCCCCAAAAGCAGGCGGCACCTCAGAAAACTGGCACCCTGGGACTTCCGTGCTCCTCTAACCCATCCCTGCTGTTTCCCCCCAGATCAAAGTTGTAGATCCTGACGGTGTGCTGGAGGAAGCCTTGGCCATGGTCAAGAAGAAAGAGGAGCCCAGTGAAGCAGGAACCAAGAGGTCACGGTTAGATTCCCCAATCCAAGCACATGCCCGGGGTTGGGTTGCAGGCTTGATCCCTGTTAGGGGGTGTGCAGGAGGCAGCTGATCAATGATTCTCATCACTAATGTTTCTCTCCCTCTCCCTTCCTCTTTCTGAAATCCATAAAAACATCTTTTTAAAAAAATAAAATAAAAAGAAGAACAAGGAGACCGATACCAGGTGAGAGGATGGGCACACCGGTCACCCTCTATGTGGGTCAGGCAGCTCCTGGAGTCTCCTTTGGGGGAGGGGTTCCTCCCCTTCAAAACCCATTTCATTGAAGCCCAGTCCATTCCAGTCCTGCCCAAATCCTCCTATTTGTACCCTGGGCTTACTGGGAGGAACGCTGCTTGGAGGACTTCTTTTGCCCCAGGCCTCTGCTTGTCCAGTGATTCCATCCAGTCCTTGCCCCTCCTGCTGTGGGTATTAGGTTTGAGGACAGGGCTGGTACAGTGTCTTTGAAACACCAGCTCCCACCCCACCTTCGCCCCTGCAGAGACTCTCAGAGCTTCAGGAGAAAATCAAGTCCACATCATCCAACTGCTCAAACCGGTGGAGGAGTGAGTGGTGACTCCGGGCACACCCTTGGCATCCACAGAGAGCACCTCATCCTCCCAGCGCTGGATCCTCCCTTGTCAATAGGGGCCAGTGCTTCTCTCCCCAGCTGGCCTTGGGGGCCCTCTTGTTACAGCTTTTATTCTATCCCTGAGTGCAGGAGAATAAAGGAGTACGTGGTGGCATTCGCCTGAGCCTGTGATGTGAGGTTTGGGGGGGCAGGAGAGCCCCAGGAGGGATTTCAGGTAGAGAAGAGGGAAGAGGGCTCTGGCCTGCACGGGTTGACCCTAGAGGGGAGAGAAAAGTTGTGTCTCCCAGCCTCTGAGCTCTGAGCTGCTCCGGAGAGGAGAAAGCCTGCATCTGTTCACATTGGTCACTAAGATTTGGGGTTAAACCTGACCCAGCTCCTTCGTCTAACACAGGGGCTTGGACCTGAGGATCCTGTGGGAGCTTTAAAAGCTAAAGAAGATCACATTCGAAGCCCAGTTTCTCATCTGACTGGGGTGAGGCCTGGGCCTTCAAAAAGCTTCCCCAGGTGACTTCAATGTGCAGCAGGGGCCAAGAACTCCCGACTTACTGGATGTGTGACCCTTAGCTAGAGACCTCCAGGCTTCAGCTATAAAATGGGACTTAGGAGATCTCACAGGGGTGTTGTGAGGATTTGCTAACAGATGAAAGCATAATGAACAACATGTATTGAGGTTAATTGTGAAGCAGATATCTGGGAAGGGCTTTGCATCACTCATCTAGACAACATTCCTGCGCGATAAGAGACTCTTACATAATGAGTAGGAACACGAGCTCTGCAGGCAGATTGCCTGGGTGTGAATCCAGCATGAATTTATTAGCTGTGTGTTCCTGGGTACACCACCCAACCTCTCTATTCACCAGGTTTTCTCTTCTCTAATATGGGAAATAACGGTACTTACCACCCTGGGCTGTTGTGGTTACTGTGAAGATCAAGTAAGGCAGCCCATCTCCTTCCCCGGGGACATTTGGCACGTCCCCAAAACAATTTTGGTTGTGAGAACTGGCAAGAATGCCACTGGCACTTAATGGGTAGAGACTGGGGATCCTGCTAAACATGCTACAGTGTAAACTCTACAAATGAATGACTTAGCCCATCCTCAACAGTGTAGCCCCGAAATACCATGATAAATGTACAGGTCTCACCAAGCACCTGACACATAGTAAAGGCTCAATAAATGTTCACTGACACTGTCAAGTTTCTCTCTGCCTCTATATCATAAACAGGGCAGCCTGACCCAAAGCATGGTGTCTCTGATGCCAGGAAGCTGAGCCTGGCAGCCTTGGGGCACAGAATTAACAGAGAGAGCACCCACTTGGGTGCCAGGTCCTATGCTGACAGCTTTACCTGTGTCCTCTTCCATGACCCCTCATCAAGCTGTGAGGTGTCCTGCTATTATTAGTGCTATTTTTCTTGTTGTTGTTAATCCTCACCCGAGGATATTTTTCCATTGATTTTTAGGGAGAGTGGAAGAGAGGGAAAGAGAGAAACATGGATGTGAAAGAAACACATTGATTGGTTGCCTCCTGCACGAGCCCTGACCAGGGCCTGAGCTGGGGAGGAGCCTGCAACCAAGGTACATGCCCTTGACTGGAATTGAACCCGGGACCCTTTGGTCCACAGGCTGACGCTCTATCCACTGAGCCAAACCAGCTAGGGCTATTAGTGCCATTTTAGAGTTGGAACTGAGGCCCAGGGAGGTTTCCAAGTCATAAATAGAGGCCTATCTGCTCTTAAGGTAAAGAACAGTGACAGTGGTGAAGTGTGCAGGCTACCATTTTTTCAGAAAAAGCAGAAGTGTGTGCTGGTTTATGTATAACTCTCTCTACATGGGAAATAAAGTGAATTGGCAACAATGGTTGTCTCGCCCCCTGGCTGGTGTGGCTCAGTCGGTTGAGCATCCTGACATGTACCAAAAGATCAACTATTCAACTCCCAGGCGAGGTGTGTAGGGAGGTAACCAATCAATGTTTCTCTCTTACATTGATGTTTCTCTCTCACCCTCCTTCCTTCCTCTCTAAAGTCAATTTTTAAAAATCCTATATAATAAAACCCTAATATGCAAATGGACTGAACAGCAGAACCACCAGTCACTATGATGTGCACTGACCATCAGGGGGCAGACACTCAACGCAGGAGCTGCCCCCTGATGTTCAGTGTACCAGAAGCCAGGCTCATGGCTGGCAAGCACAGTGGCCAGAGCCTCTTCCTCCTCCTCAACAGCACTAAGGAGCAGAGAGTGGGTGGGCAGTAAGGAGTGAGGGGTCCCAGGCTGCGAGAGGACACAGGATGGATTGAGGGACACCCGGCCCCCTTCCTCCCCATGCACAAATTTTGTGTACTGGGCCTCTAATATATATAAAGTCATTATCTCTGGGGAGACTTGGGAACCTGGGCACAGGGAAGGGAAACATTTCACTGTGTATCTGGAATCATGTGAATGTATTATCTATTCAAAATATGAATAAAATTGAAATTAAAAGAGACTGTGTTCCTACTAGCATTTCCATAAATTGCCTGGAGTTAAAAATACAGAATCAGACACACCTAGGGATGGGCTTGGGTATCTGCATTTTACAAGCCAATCTGGTGATTCTTGAGTTCAGGCAAGTTTAGGAAAAAAACAAGACTACAGTCATCCTTCTCCACTCAGCCCACAAAGCTGCTGCTGGCCAAGTTCAAGTCTGCACAGGACAAGAACTAGGACCACACTTTCCCCCAACCAACTTTCACTTTAGTCAGAGCACTCTGTATCTGTAAAACCACTTTCTGAGACAGAGCTCTCAGATGCAAAGACCCGTGGAGGCCAGGAAAGTAGCGCAGATGAAGCTGGCCTGGTGTGGGAGAAGAGGGAACAGTGGGGACTGTGGCAAATAGGTCCTGAGGAAGAGAGTGGCTACAACTCACTCTGCTCATCACTGCTCTACAAAAAGGTGAGCCTGGTGCTACTGCTGGATCTCCTCACTTCTTTCTTTCTTTCTTTCTTTTTAATATATTTTATTGATTTTTTTACAGAGAGGAAGGGAGAGAGATAGTTAGAAATGTCGATGAGAGAGAAACATTGACCAGCTGCCTCTTGCACACCCCCTACTAGGGATGTGCCCGCAACCAACGTACATGCCCTTGACCGGAATCGAACCTGGGACCTTTCAATCCGCAGACCCATGCTCTACAGCCGAGCCAAACCGGTTTCGGCTGGATCTCCTCACTTCTTAAGCAAAGTCAGAATCCGCCCATGGGAATGCCCAAGACCTTCCAGGTTCGAATTCTGACCAATTACTTAACCTCTTGGGGCACCAATTTTGTCATCTGCAAAAGGGAGACAAATACGCCTGCCAAAATGCACAACCCAATTGTAAAAATGACAAAATACCAGAAAAACCAGACTCAGGCAACATTCTACAAACAACAGATCTGGTCGTTTCAAAACTGTCCGTATCTCAAGGATAAAGAGAGGCTGTAGCAACTACATGTAACATCCTGATCCTGGATGTAAAAACCACTGCTAGAAAGGACATGATTGAGACAAGTGGGAAAGTGAACACGAATGTTCCATTAGGTTGTATGGCATCAACGTCAGATTTCCTGAATTGTGGGCATGTAGGAGATAATATCCTTGGTTTTAGGAGGAAGTATTTAAGCATGAAGGGTCACCGTATCTGCAATCAACACATATGGCTCAAGGGCAAAAACACAGTGATTCTCGTCGTTTCACGGTTTCTGTATTTGTGAATCTGCCTACTTGCTGAGGTGGAGCAAGGAAACCTTCTGCCTTGTTTCAGCTCTCATGGTCTACTGAGTGCCAGGTTTTTTTTGTTGATTTCACCACTTAAAATGGTTCTCAAGCGTAGCGTCCCTGCGTGCAGGAAGGCGATGACGGGCCTTACCTACCTGTGTCAGGTGTAAGCTTCATTCATGCTTCAACGAGTGATGCTTCTGTTGGCCTGAATTCTGTCAAACAGAACTTATGTCAATAAGTCAACAATATATATTCAGTAAAATGTCTTTAGATAGAAACATACATAAAACCAGTTGACAAAAAATATTGTGACCAGAGGCTCGCAGGAACCTAAGCCCATATTTCCCAGAGAAGCGGTGATTCAGTACCCGCTCATTCAGCGTTCACAGTGATTTTATAGAACAGAACTGAGAACAACAAGAACTGACCGCAAATATATTTCAGTTACTGTTCAATCAACTTTTTGGTAGGTTTAAAATTTCTCAAAATGTTGGGGGAAAAAAATAATCTGTTTAGAGGTTCACCTGATTAGGGCACCAGGAGAAATGACACCATGCAGCCCAGGCCCAACAAATACAGACACGAGAGGCATCCCTTATGAGTATATTTATGTGTTCACACACACTCGCACACACTCGACGCTGAACAGGGAGGGGGAGGTCACGACAGAAAGGACAGGAAGCATCCAGATGGCACTGGCATGGGCGGGGAGGAGGGACAAAGGGAGCATTTGTCCTGGCTCTGGCTCCCATGGGTGGCCTCCTGACAGGAGGCGAACCTGGAGCTGGAAGAACAGGAAGTGCTTCTTCTCCTAGAGGAAAGTTTCAAAGTGCAGTAATTTCTCCTTAAAAAGAGCTTCTTCCCTCCACTTCTGTCCCCTGACGAAAGCTCGCTCCCTATGGAGGCTGCCCTTGAGGCTGGGGCAGAATAGGTCATGGGGAAGGGCATAAGGCCAAAGCTAGGAAGTGCCCAGGCCCGGGAGGGCTTAGGCATAGTGGCTGCCTGGTGTCAGGGGGTGGTCTCCTCTGTGGTCCAGCTGGTCCTGCAAGCGGGCAAACTCTGCCAGCTCGTTGAGCTCCTGGAACTGTCGGTCCGTCTTATGGCTGACCAGTGAGCGGTAGAAGTGGACAGCAAACACAATGAAGACCAGGCCGAAGGGGACCATGATGGTGGTTGAGGCGATGGCGGCGGCCTGGCCTGGGGTGATGCCGCCAGTGCCACCACTGCTGTCATTGGAAACCGGGCTGCCTTGGGGCTTATTAGTGGGCCGGGGCTGGCCCGGCTGCCTCTTGAGGGGCAAGAACTTGACCCAGCAGAGCAGCACCACCTCAGCCAGGAAGAGCAGCGTGCCGATGACAGTGGAGAAGGCCCAGGCCAGCTCGATATGGCGATGCATGCGCTCGTGGGGTGACTCCTTGACGGAGTTGAGGTTGTGCACGTTGCTCACTGCCTCGATGTTGGGCAGGATGCAGGTGCTGATCATCAGTGCAAACAGGTGCACAGCCACTAGCACCGTCGTGCAGGCACTGAAGGCGATGAGCAGTCCCGGCGGGTAGTCATGGTCAGCATCCAACTGCACCTCCACCATCGCCACCTGAGGGTAGGGGAGAGGCAGGCTGAGCACCAGGATAGTCACGGCCCACAGAGGCTTTCCTCCTGTCAAACCCTGCGACCCTGGGAAAGGCACTAGGCCTCTCTGAGCCTCAGCTTCTACATTTGTATAATGGAGATCATAAGACCCATCCACCTGGGCATAAAGTACAGGTAAAGAAAGCAGGCTTAGCCCTAGCCAGTTTGGCTCAGTGGATAAAGCTTCAGCCTGCTGCGGACTGAAAGGTCCCAGGTTTGATTCCGGTCAAGGGCATGTACCTTGGTTGTGGGCACATCCCCAGTAGGAGGTGGGCAGGAGGCAGCTGATCGATGTTTCTCTCTCATCAATGTTTCTAATTCTCTATCCCTCTCCCTTCCTCTCGGTAAAAAATAAAAAATAAAAAAAATAATAAAACATAAAAAAATAATAATAATAATTTAAAAAGTTGGCTTATGCCCTGACCAGTTTAGTTTGGCTCAGTGGATAGAGCATAGGCTTTCGGACTCAAGGGTCCCAAGTTTGATTCCAGTCAAGGGCATGTATCTTGATTGCGGGCACATCCCCAGTAGGGGGTGTGCAGGAGGCAGCTTATTGATGTTTCTAACTCTCTCCCCCTCTCCCTTCCTCTCTGTAAAAAAATCAATAAAATATATTTTTTTAAAAAGAAAAAGAAAGCAGGCTTGGAGCCCAGGCCGCCAGGATTTGAATCTACCAATAGCTACATGCCCTTGGAAAAGTCCCTGAATCTCTGAGCCTCAACTTTCTAATTTGTACAACAGGAACATCATATTAATTCACAGGATTATTTTTAACAATTAAACAAGAGCTCCTAGCACATAGCAAAAGCCTCCCAAATGGCAACTGCTGGTCTTACCATCCAACCAGGTATTAAAAACCAACCACCACAAAAGATTAAAATGGTTTTATGCATATCTTACTATGATAAAAAAATTTGCATTGAAATTAAAAATAAAAATAAAAAGCACCCCCCCCTTCCCTCTTGGCCCCACACTCCCATTCTCAAGCAGACGGGTGAGGATGGAGATGAAGGCCCTCCCAGGTCATGCCCAGGCCCTTTCTGAGAATGCAGTGCACCAACCAACCAGGAACCACGGAAGGCTTCCCAGAAGAGACGGGCTCTAGCGAGGTGCAGTGCGACAGCCCTGGAGCCATCTACATCCTAGGCCCCAGCTCAGGGCTCCAAGGCTGACGCACTAGCTACTGCCCAGTTCCTGGAGACCTATGGATCCGGGATCACCGGGGGCATGTTCTGGGTCTGCCACCTGCAGCTTCTCCCCAGGACCTTGCAAATCACCCCCAAGTAAAGGAGCCAGCTCATTAGATCCGAGCTGGGAGCAGCAGGTGCTGGGCACACGTCCAGGGCCTGCCTGCCGGGCCTGGAGCAGTGAGCACCAATGGCGAAACCACTAAGGACAGTGACCCTTCGTGAAGTGTCCACTACGTACGTACCAGGCTCAGAGAGTGGGGGGTCTGATGCTAAAATGTGTCCACCAGCCCCACACCAGCCTGCCCTGACCTTTCCTTACTCCTGGGGAGTGTAGTGGGCTGCTCCTTCCCCACCAGCTCTTCTTCTGCATGTAATGCCTGGCTTACTTAGCTTTCATTTCTTGTTCCTCTAAACACTTCCTGGGGCCCGGAAAGGCAGGGTGGGGCAGTGGTTAGAGGCACAGGCTCTGCAGCCAAGCAGACTGCCTTTGAACCCTGACTCTCTACCTTTTATTAGGCTGTGACTCTGACAAGTTCCTCCAATTTTCTGGGCCTTGGTTTAGAAGCGTCACCCCCAAACCCACTATATGAAATCCTCTGAGGTTTCTCTCTTCCAGCTCTGGGAGGATGTACAATCTAGAGGCCACCTGGGGTCCAGCCCCTTCAAGAAGCTGGTGACAGAAGTGGACACCCTCCTTAGAAGGCCCAGGTTTATATATTTGTAGGACTTTTCAGACAAACTTAGTGGGATTCATAGATCTTCGCTCTGTAATTCCCATAAGGGAGGACTGTATGAACTTTTCAGTGCAGGAGCTTATAAAATGTTTCAAGTTCCTATAAAGCTGGGGCAGTGCCATTAGGATTTTGGTCATTTTTAAGACCATTGGTGGCCTAATGTCAACCCTGAAATTTTAGTACATGTGGTGGAGGGATATGGGGCATCAGAGCAGGCCACCAGGGCACGGCGAATTAAAAGCCACTTCCGGAGGCCCGTGGCCTCTGTCCCCAGGGTTGCCCACATGGGAAAAGGGGGGCACGCACCCTCCAACAGAGGGTGCCTCTTGCCACCTCCCCACCCCCAGCACTTCACTTCCTCTTTTTGCCTGCTGCCCCGGCATCTGAAACCAGAGAACGGACAAGCAGGAGAGCCTGCTGCTTGGCTGCCCCAGGTCCACTGGCTACTTATTCACTCACTGGAAATGTCCAGACCCATGAGGTCATCAGGCCCTGAGCTGGACACTGGGGGCATAAGAGGGTGGTGGTATATACAGGTCATGCTCCCGTACTTGATATCCCCCTGAGTATATAGCCATTAAGAGTGAATTGGCTCTTCCACTTGTTCTTAGAAGACCTGGCATATAATAAGCTTAATAAGGTGTCAATGATTATTGGCAATATCCTTATGAAAGCCTTGTGGAAAGGAAGTCATGGGAGCATTTCCCTCATAGGGTTAGGCTGCTATAGACTGAATGTTTACATCATCCCCTCTAAATTCATATGTTGCAACCCAAACCCCTAATGTGATGATGTTAGGAGGTGGGGCCTTTGGGAGGTGATTAGACACAGGGTGGAGCCCCAGGATGGGTTAGTGCCCTTACAAAAGAGGCTTCGGAGACTCCCTGGCCTTCCACCATGTGAGGGCACAGTGAGAAGATGGTGTCCATGAACCAGGAATATCGAATTTACAAGTGCCTTGATTTTGGACTTTAGAGCTGTGAGAAATAAATGTCGGTTGTTTATAAGCCACCCAGCCTGTGGTATTCTTTTAAGTCTTTTATTTTATTTTATTGATATTTTACAGAGAGGTAGGGAGAGAGATAGAGAGCTAGAAACGTCGATGAGAGAGAAACATCGACCAGCTGCCTCTTGCACACCCCCTTCCAGGGATGTGCCCACAATCAATGTACATGCCCCTGACCGGAATCGAACCTGGGACCTTTCAGTCCACAGACTGACATTCTACCACTGAGCCAAACCGGCTTTGGCAAGCCTGTGGTATTCTGTTTTAACAGCCCAAAAGGACGAAGACTAAGGATTAAATGAGTTTACTTATTAAATGTAAGTATTTAACACAGGGCCAGCCCACAGGAGGTGCTCAATCAATCTCAGTTATAAAGAAAACTGCAGGGCTTGAAGTGGAAGAAAAATAGCCCCTGGACACCCTGGGCTCAGGCTGGAGAGAGCTGACCCCACATGCCGACGTTCTACCCCATGGGGTGGGAGAGGGCCGGACTCCCTTTCTGGGCCTTGTGTGCCCCAGCTACAATCTCCGGGCACAGCAGAAAGTGCGTCCCAAACCACACCTGGACAAATGGCCACACCAGCAGGACAGAGACCACCCTCTGCAGATCATCTGCAACAACCCCAGGCCTCAGGGCTGGATGCAGACACAGCTGGCCTGGGGACACCAGAACTGGCTAACCCTCCCCCGCCGCTCATGGGCCAAGGAGAGGCTGGGCGGCTCAGTCTGTGACACTGGGCCCTCGGAGGAAGAGGAAGGGGCCCAAGGCCCTGCTCCGGAAGAAACCCCATCACCTTTGCCGGACCCGACAATTCCTGGAACTTGGACCTCGCAGGCTGGCTGTCTGTATCGTTCCCACAGTGGGGATCGAGTTCTGTGCCACGGGGCTGCATAAAGGAAGGTTTGGCACGGAAAATGTTCACAGGAATCAAGCCACTAATTTTTCCAGGATGCTTCCCACCGGGGAAATCTCCTCATGCGAAGGGAGCGTAAAAATCACAGGGGCCTCATGAACCTGGCAGGCGACTCCCAGGGCCCCGGCTGAGTCTGGAGCAGCGATAGATCAGATTGCAAGCAGCTTCATAAGGTAATTATAGATGGAGCGCGGGGCGAGTTAACCCAAAATAAACAGCTCCCATCCAGTCCCAGGCCTGTTTGAACTTGGCCACAGGGCTCCGGAACGGAGTGGATGGGTGAGAGACGGCCAGCCCCATCTCACAGTGGTCCATGGACTCCCCACATGTGGGATCGGGACACTGAGATGCCAATTTTCAAGCATGAGCCAAGAGGGTCATGTGATTCTGGAAGGTAGGGCCTGGTTGGCTTTGCCGAGTCTGTTCCTATGCCTGAATACCAACCACCTCTCCTCACTCCTGCTGGGCTCCATAGAGACCCTGGCCACCTGGCGCCTGGCAGTCCAGGCCATTCCGAGGCAGCCCTCCTACGCCTGGCTGACCCTAGCGCCCACAGCCAGGACACAGGACACTCCTTTTCCAGGCCTGGGCTTCTCTCACTTTGAGGAGGGTGGGTGGCTGCAGCCTGGAACAAGAAAGCTGCCAAGCCACAGTCACCCAGGCTCACTCGGAGCTGTCTGAGCCTGCCGGTCCCACCTCAGATGCAAACCATCTATTAAGAGAGGGCTGAGAAAAAAAAAGAAAAAAAGAGAGAGAGGAGAGGGCTGAGGTCCAGTCCAGCAGTTTACAAACTCTCTGACCACCACCTCCAGGACTCCAAGTGTTTCTATAAATAGAAACACACACATTTAAAACAGAAACTGAAGTTCCAACAAACAATACATCCCTAAAAGCCCCAGCAAGGTCTATTCTTACAACACAGGGTGCATGCTGCTACTTTCTATTTCACTCCATCAAAAAAAGGGGAGGGGGGGAAATGCTGCTTGCAACTCACTAAATGTATGCCATAAACCACAGATTGGGGGATGCGGGGGGAGAGAAGAGGCCAGGCGTTCTCTTTCATCTAGCTAATTCCGACTTCTTTAGGTTTTACCTTCCAAGTCACCACTATTCCATGGCCT